GTTGTGCCATTGTTAGCTTTTAGCTACTGTTGTGCCATTGTTAGCTTTTAGCCACGTGTATTGCAACTGTCTGCTTTTAGCTAATGTTCTGCTAATTTTAACTTTTAGCGACAGTTTTGTTTATTTTTAACGTGCAGCTAATGCTTTGCTAATTTTACTTCTACCAATTGTTCTACTAGTTTTAACTTTTTGACAATTTTAGCCACCGTTTTGCTCATATTACCTTTTGTTCTAATTGATTTAACTTTGGCAACTAATTTCTAGCTTTTTTCTCCAAATTTCAAGTGATTCAGCACTCACACAGCTTTCCCGCCGTTCCTCTAGTTAAACAATGAAAGCTGATTTCCCAGGCAGATTAAAGAGWTAAAATCGAGCCAACGTCCTCTGTGGAAGAGGCTCTTTTGTTCCGCGTTAAGCTTGGGTGTAGATCAGGAGGCAGTGCTGCCAAACCGTTAATCTTCTCTGTGTGTGTGTTTGTGTATGACAGTTCCACGACCTCCTGTCCCAGACCACATCGCCCCTCAGTCAGCTGGACCCCTACACCAGTCGCTCCATGGACATGCTCCTCCCCCTGACCGAGTCGGACCGGAGGCGGCGGGGACTGGACCAGGACTGCAGCGTTTCTCTGAGGTCTTACAACGAGAGGCCGCGCTCCGTAGTGAGTTTCGCTTCCTTTACGCTCAGATCATCATGAGAGGAAATCATCCGCTCTGCTTTACTTTCAGTGAATTAAAGACAAATTACTAAAGAAGGATGCTGCACATTCGCCGTTCTTCTCAAAGATAGAGCTGTTGTGTTCATGCACAGTTGAACATTGGTATAATTAGTGGGCAGAGTCACTCAGCCAGAGTTTAATTTCACCATAAGCTGTGGGTAAATTAGAGGAGTGTTTAGTTTTGCCCAAAGAACGTTGATTTTTCAGCTTTCTTTTCCACCAAGAGCTTTGATTCATTGGGTTTGTCGAACAGATGCAATTTTATGTAATATTTTGCCCGATCATCTGCACGCATTTAATAAAACTTTCCACAAAAAGTCTTTACGCTGTAAGATCTGAATGATACGAGGAAGTAATGTTTTAAAATCTCACCATGCATCCTCCCACTGACAAACTGCAGCTCATAACATATTAAAGATATTCCTAAGTTTACCAGGCTAAGCTCAGTCAATCGTTCCTCAGGGCTGGCTGATTTGGATGAATTCATTCAAATTTCATTATGTCAGAACATGAAAATACATCAGATGAAATAAACAGACTTTTAGTGCAATGAACTGTTCCAAAGGTTTGCTTCACATTAGTGGAAAAGTCCTGCTGAGACAGGGAATGGCCAATTTATGTATGACTTCTTTTCTTTTTTTTTTAATGTGTGTGAATTTGAATAAAATCATTTTTTTTGGATGAGTTTAGCATCACTTAGAGTCAAAACATGGCTCTGTTTAATTATAATATTACCCTACAGCTGTTTTATATCTTCGTGGACTGCCATGAATTTCTTCTTCTTCTTTTTTTCTTTTCTTTTTTTTGTGTGTGTGTAACAATGAGCCAAGAATAACTTCGTGAAAGGTCAAAGTCAGACTCAAACAGTCAAGCTGCCACGTCTGGTTTGTTACTCACTGAGGGCAAAAAGAAAACATTAAAGAACGTCAACAAAATTATTGACCTAGCATCTTTGAAGGAATGCATATCACCCGCAGCTTCRTATACAAGTACTTTAAACAAAAATCCTTTTATACTGAGAGATGATGGAGTTGCTTTGGTCAAACCTTGTTAATATTTCACGAGGTATGTTAGCACTCAGATTATTTGTTGAGAAT